ATGCTATCGTGATCAAGCCACGACCCTAAATCTATAGGAGGAGAAGAAACTCGATGCACACCCGTCGGGTAGGAAGCCGCCACACTCGCCATATGATTAGCAACTAAGTTCGCTTCACGATGTACATGTTGAATTCTCACGGTCCATTCTCGTTGAAATAAATCACGGATTGCGTTAACTATTGATTCATTAGGTCCAAACATGTCGTCCGAAATATACACCATTTTTGTGACATATTGACTATCCACCTCAACCGACACCTGACGATAATCCAAATCCCACGCCAAAATCAGCCCCTGAAAGAATCTCCAAAACTCGGCTCCCGTGATGGTGCAAAAAGCTATATTCATAAGAAGGCCCTCGATCCACCTTCCCAACTCATCTCGGATAAGCCCTCCCGCACTACTCAACCCTGTGCTATCAAAAGCACCATCCGTGTTAAGTTTAATCCACCCCAAAGACGGGGGAGTCCATCGAATCATGCTGGTGTTGAGTTTAATCCACCCCAAGGCCGGGGGAGTCCATCGAATCATGCTGGTCACATACATGGCAGCCCCAGCCCGGACATTTGCTGCCTCGGCACTAGCATAGTTAGCCGTCACGTTCAGGATTTCTACCCTCCGGGCTTCAGAATTTTTTGCAAAAAAAATCGCTCATTCCACCACTTCCACATAAACCATCAAGATATATATGCTGGATTTAATTTTTACTTTTTTTTTTTAATTTTATTGTTTTTTTTTTTTGTCGAATGGTGGTATGGTATCCCCACATTCATCCAGATTTCAAGAGTCAAATTTATCACATTAGCTAAAAAAACCCACCACAGAATCCTCACACACATAACACAGCCAAATGTTTTAAAACTCATGAACCCACAAAAAAAGGTTGCTAAATATCCTGTAAATCAAAACAATACTCAAGACATTTCATAGTAACTCAGTCCATCATTTGATTTCCTCACTCATCATCCTCTTCGTCCTCATCATCATTTCCCGCTGCAGCATTGAGAGCATTCAACCTCTCAATCAGCTTAGCCTTCCTCTCTTCGTATGTCAACTTCTTCAGGTTGAATCTGTATAAGCATTTCAATAAATGTATTGTAATCTGATCCCAAGCTAATGATCCACTATGACTTTACATAAAAGCAAGCTTTTCAAGACATTGAGCAAGGGTGACTTGAAATATTTCACCCCAACCAAAGGATCCATGAGAATTTGTGATGAATTAAAAACGAGAGAGTAACGTGTTATTGCTTTAGCATCGTCCAATTTTGCAAAGCGCATCCATAAGAATTTGATATAAATTATCATTAAAGATCACCGTGTTGTTTATATATATATATATATATAAATAGATAGATAAATACTAAAAAAAGTAACATCTAACCTCTTGTGCTCTTTAGGAGGCTGCTTTTGAGATTTCTTTTCTGTGGGGTCTGCACGAATGGCTGCATGTACCTTCTTGTACAAAGCCTCTATGTTATCTGCTTCAACACCCTTCTTGATATACTGGCTGAACACGGACTGGTACTTCTCAGGTTCATCTTCCATCAACGTCTACAATATTCAAAATCACACAATTACTTTGACAGAGACCAGCATTGATTAATGACTTGTTATGCTGATCACCAAAAACTACGACACTA